TATGTTAATAGCCGCTTTCACTCACAAACATTTATGAGGCAAATATTGCTCGTTTTACTCCACTTCTTTCATTATATAGCTTTATTTGCTAGCTACTTTGCATATTTAGATTATAATACAAAATAAATCATGATAAATTACATAGGTTAAGCTATATAAAAAGTGATTCAAATACACCCCTACCTTTGAAGACAAACATCAATATTTCTAATATACATATATGATTCTTAAATCATTTTGCATTATGATAACTTTCACTTAAGTGAAAAAACTGAGTACTTCTCCCACCCCTGGCTGGATCACCTGTTCAGCCGCTTCCCCCAGTCACAGTGCTGATCGCCTGGACGAGCAGAGCTGCGTGCGGCCTCTGGACTCATGGCTCGCGTCACCCGATGACCTGGAAAATGGGAGCGTAAAATCTGCAACATCACTTCAACCAGCAGACAACATGCTGCTTTGAAGTGGGAGTGGGCCTAAATTGGATTAAGCAGCATCTCTAAGGAGCAGCTCCCGTAGATTTGATTACACACGCCCCCTCACCCAACACCTCCCGATTTTCCCGGTTCAGATGAGACGAATCGGGGCGGTGCTCAGTGCCAGAGTCTGGTACTCCACTTCTTAATGTGTGCCCATCTGCCAGCCATTTACCTGATTACTCCGGGATAAGTCAGACAGCTCGGGCTCTGCCAGGGCAGCTGGGAGGCAAGAGACGGGCTTTTACTTTAGTAGCCTACAGGTGGACACAGGAGAGATAAGGACCAGATGACCCTTTTTTCTGTGAAAACAAGCATCCACAGATCACCAAAAATGGCGATAATTGTTGGATAATTGACATCCAAATGGAAAACATCGGTTCATTATATATTTGAAGTGTTGGACTGCCACACAGACTATTAATTTTGCACCTTAAACAACCATTAAACTGAAGAATATTTCAAAGAGGACAAAATCTTCTCATTATCCGCTCACAGCTTAAAGCGCTGTTTAAATAAAGTCCAAAGCACTGACTTCAAATCCTCCACACAAGCATGGCACACAGACCACCTTCTATTTCTGAAAAAATAACATCCAGTTCTGGTTTAACTTGGGCTCATTATGGTGGAAGTGGGTTCCAGGGCCAGGAAGTTTCATTGCTTTCCAAATAAATCTCACTAAACAGAGCTGTAATCCAAATTCCTCCTCTTGTGGAGTCCTCCTTTTACGGGAAAGCGTTCAAAAGCTAGTTTAAAAGTCACACAGTATCCATGTAGATCACTTGTTGTAATATTTGTACTGAAAAAACAAAGGTAAATAGCGTAGTTGATTGAAAACAAACCTCCCCCCTCCGAAAAGGCTGCTTATTTTCACCCACCACAGGCCAGTCTCTGATTATTTCCACATAAGGGGGTAAAGCAGCTCTCAAATTTAAACCAGCTCGTGAAAAAATTATCAAAAAAGAATGAGGCCCTTTCCTTTAATATTCCTGGGCTTTTACTGAGTGACACAGAGGGTTTTCATTACCTTGCTCACTGCTAGCAAATCTTAGACATCAACTTAATATGTTACATAGAACCTGGCAAGGGAACAATCAGGAGGTGCTGTGGGCGGGTGTGATAGTGTGTGTGCCAGTCAAAATTACTGGTTTGATTCAAATAGCATAATGTGCTTTGTTCCCTCTGCCATTGAGAAAACAAGCAGGGGTATATTCTCGGTAAGTAGGGAAAAATAGGCTGAGTAAACCCCTGCTATTACTGACATGTGGCACTGAAAACGGGTGATCCTAGTTACAGCTCCTCAGCTGAGTGGAAGGAGGAACTCGTCACTGAGCGTAAACAGCTCTTTTGGCTTAGTTCTGCGAGCTAAAATACCCCCGTCCCACCCCGTCTACCCCCTCCCTCCCCCCCTCTCGACACCCCATCTCCTTGTGCTGTGTGGCGTCAGCTGCAATGAGCTCCAGATGTGGCCTGGCACCCCTCCAGTCACGGCACTGGATGTGGTTTGAAGGTAGTTTGGAAACACCACCCACCAGCGGACCCAATGAAAGTTCCTCAGACTACAGAGAGAGGTTTTTCTGTCGCTGGGTCGTGTTTGTGCGGACTGAAGGAGCGCAGAAGTAGTGGGGGGGGTTCTGCCTCTCGTATGTGCATGTGTTACTTATTGAACATGCTTTGAATAAGTAAGTATATGAGACAATAGTTGAAAGTATTTCCATCTGTCTCAGTAGATATGTAAATATCAACTTCCTTTATTCACCCCGAGGCTTCCATCCTTTGTTCCCTTTGCATATAAACACTGGTTTTGGAAAAGGGTCCCAGTGATGTGTGCTGCCTTTGATAACTAAAGAAAGGACTGAGATGTCTGTGTGAGAATGGAAAGACAAAACCTAATAACTGCTAATCCCTTAAAAAAGTTGGAAAGTTCAAAAAATTATTCCAGCACAGCAGGGTTAAAAAAAAGAAGAAGATAATTACAGATGCACACTGTGTGATAGTGAAGTTAGTATTTAGCTTTGCCTTTTTTACAAAGACACACAAAGAAATATAGATAACAAAGGGAATAAGAAATTAGCAGCAGGTTTTCTAGATAAGAAAGTTCACTAACAAAGAAAAACTCAACCGTCAACATCTGCTCTCAGAGATTAAAAGTGTAAAAGATTTACACCAGTGGCAATGGGTTCAAAATATTTGCTTTTACAAAGAGACTTAAAACTAGTTACAGTAATAGCAGCTGAGACATTTTGCTAGCAACAAGCCAGGAGCAAAAATATGTAGACAGAGCAGGACTCTTCTACACTCCATAACAAATTAGAAAAGATGCCATAAAAAGATAGTTTAATGCCTTTTTGGTTTTTCATCTGTAGCAAAATGTGACTATAAGTGCATTATGTTGCACAGCCTTGTGTTGTGCAATGATCCTCGTATGACTAATGATATCACTGATGTGTGAAAAACCAGTTGGCAGTTTAAAAAAGAAAGTCTGCTGTTGTGTTCACTTGGAAACTCCATTAATACAGAATAGATACCAGAGTGTGGTATGTGACACACAGTACATGTTTACTGTACAGGCAGATCAGGGGTGTCCATCTATGACGTCCTATCTACTAACTTTTCTCTCTATCTTACAGTCCCCTCGATTAGTTTTCCAACAGTGTGTTGTGAGGATCGAATGAGGTCACTGTGTGTGAGCTGCCAGCTAATTCACATGGTGGGCTGGAAAAAAACACATTTGTTTTTTAGGGCAATAGCTCCCCCTGTTGCCACAAATAACAAAATGTCCGACAAAGTTTAACAAAATAACCCAGATGTTGGCCTCCGGTTTTAATACAACATAAACCTGACATATGTTCAGAGAAAACAGTCAATAATGCAAACGCTGATGTCTGATACAGAATTATTATGAATTTGACGACAGCTTGATAAGAGTGGAGCAGTAACAGATGCAGGACAGTGGTGTTGTTTTTTGTACAAGTTTATATGGCTTAGGAGGTGTAATTACTGCATCAATGTAAACTAGAAATCCAAATCAGGTTACTTATGGTATGAAGCTGGCAATATAATGTTGTATCCTCCCAGTTTTGTTCAGCGGCTCTTTGCTGATGTATAAGGGAGGAAAAAAGGGCTGAAACTAAAGATTATATTCATTGATGAATCATTTGTAATGTTGTCCCAGTATTATTTCCCTTTCTTGTCCATCTGTCCTTCTATCTAATTAAAGTATAAAAATGTCAAAAAATATCTTCAAGAAAATAAGTCCGAAAATGGTGGGGAAAAGAATGGTGGTCGTTCAGTGTTTCCCAGCCCAAGATAATGTCCTTAAATGTCTTGTGTCGTCCGAAACTCTAAATAAAATGTCAATTAAACCTTAGAACAATCATATTTCAAATACTGAAATCAGAGAATATAATCGTTTTTTCCTCAACCGATTATAAAAATAGTTGGCAATTCATTCTTTATTTTTATTTGAATTGTTTATTTGGCAGGGACATTGCACATTAATGAACACTTAAAACAAGAAATGTGTCAAGCGTAAATATGTCGGAATTAGCTTTGAGCTACTTTCCATCCGCAGTCCCTCACATAAAACATTTAAGAAAATGACATTTATAAACAAAACAAAAACAAATACATGATATGCAAAAAGTGCAAAAGAGCAAGAGCAGCATACACAAGTGTTTATCACATGGCAATACAATATAGCAGCAACAAATGTATTATCGTGAAATGTTTGCAGCCTTAGAAAACAATGTAGCCACATGTGGTGTTTCCAGGTGAAGATGAATGTAATCCTGACCTCACCTAGTAGGTTTTGAGTTTAAGTATTTTTTTCGCAGCACATTTGAAGATGCAGTGTGTCTGTGGTCACCGAGGTGGCTTCAAGAGCTCCTGCAGGTCTCCCTGGGGTGCCAGCTGGAAGGGAAGCAGCAGCCTGTTGTTCGCCTGGCTGCAGAGCGCTGCACAGCTCTCCATCAGCAGCAGACACACCTCTTCATGACCTCGTTCTGCAGCCTGCTCAAGCATTAACAAATACAGGCACCAGGTTAAAAGATCAATTAATCTACACAATACTTGATTGTGAATTATTTCCTGAATCACAGCAGCTCCATTTCAAACATCAACTAGGACAAATAGTTAGGACAATAAACAAGACAATAGAAATTTAACAAAACATTACAATCACTAAAGACAATATTTTCAAGACCCTTTAATATGCATTTGATTTGGGATTAAACTAATTATTTAACTTTAGAGTTGACTGGTGCCCAGAACATTGCTTCAATCACATCCTAATACATTTTGGAAAGCAGTATCTCTGATTTGATGGTTATAATTTATATTCGCTGTTGAGGATGTGGTTGGGGTCAGAGACAATGTTTTTGGAAAGCCTCAATATGTTACTATGGTAGATTGCTCTTACATTTTTCTACAGAAATAGAGTCAGGCTCTTTTCTGGCCAATGTAAAGGTGGAGAGCCAGGCTGGAGTTGGAAAATGGTAAATATAGGAGAGACAGAACCACTGATACCTTCAACAACGGTCAACCATGCAGAGTGATGAGAGAACCCGATAGAATTGCCAGCCAAGCAGGTGTACTCCCCAGCGTCATCAAAAGACACTTTTCTCAGTTGGAGGATTTCCATTTCCTTATCCGTGGTGTTAAGGCCAGCAGTCTAGAAAGTAACAAAGGAAGCAGACCCAACAAGAGGCCAAAGAGGGGAAAGGTAACCATGAGTAAAGGATTCTGAAAGAGAAAGGGGATGGAGGAGCGTTCTCCTCCTCGATCCAACACCATCTGCCCACAAAGTACCACAGAGAGCCCCTGCAGAGGACTCTCCTTTCTGTTAATGGCGCGTTTCCACGACAGCGCGGAGCACGGTTTAAGAGGGCTGTGACGTCAGCGGCCCGTTTTTGGTTGCGTTTCCACTTGGCCTAGTACCGGCCGGCGGGTCCTAATTCACAGTTTTTCTGGCCTCATAAAATCGTGGGTCTAGGGCCAGAGACAACGAGGCTGAGTCGGGCTGAGTATGCTAAACTAGAGAGAGAATCGCTGGCAAGGGGGCTACAACTGCAACAAGATGGACATATTTGACCGTGATTTAATTGTAATACACGTTTCAAAATGATGCCGAAGTAACAACATACTGATACCGGTTAGTAAAAACCATGAATTAATGCTTTGACAAGTCTGCAGACAGACGGCAGGCGAAAAACCTTTTAAAATGCGTGTTTTCTAAATGGAGATTGGCTAAGCTAACGCAGTATATGCTCCGACCGTCCACACTCACAACAACGGCCTATACAGACATAAATAAAGCAGCGACTGTATTCGCCATGACACAGACAGTCTGTGGTTTGTACTTGTTTAACTTTTGTCTAGTTTCTGAACATATATGAGGAGCTGTGAGCTCTGAGTGCTAACAGCTAACGGCTGTGTTGTTTTTCTGGGGTTCTCATTGAAGATGACGTCACGGCTCCGCCTACACTGCGTTACTTTAGATACTACCCCAGTTCCTAAACTGTAATGGAAATGCGCCATAAAGTGAGCCAGTCCTAACGAGGCCTAGCCATACCGAGCGAGGCCGTGTAGTGGAAATGCGCCATTAGTGGAGAAGAGGGTTAGGTTGACTCCTGAACTGGGCCACCCCATCACCACATCAAATACCTCAGTCTCATCTCTACATGCAATAGATGGGCAACATGGAAAACTCTGCAGCAGAACAGGGCACACTCACACTCACAATCATACAAACTACGTAAGCATCAGATAAAAACAGGAGGTCTGGGGAACATAGGTCAGCAGAAGGAGGACAGCTGGAAGAAAATCTGGTGACGATCGGGCCTCTCCTATATAATTGGACACTTTACAAATATACTCTGCGCTCTCCTCCTTAGTCACATTAGCCACGTTCACACCGGAGTACTTTTCACCGTACTTTTCGCGTTTAGTTCCGTTAGTACCCCTTATGTCGCGTTCACACCAAAAAGAGCGCTTAATCTCGGGAACTTTTACCCCCATTTTTAGTGCCTGCTGAGAGATCGTACTTTCCTGGGGGAAAAAAGTGCCCCAGTTCTGGCGAATTGCAAACCACGCCTCGTACAACTCTGAAATGTTTTGTAGAGCCGCCATTGTATTATCCTCGCATTAGCATTATTAGCATTAGCATTCGCCCAGCGCACAAACGCAGAGAGACTAACTTATGGCAACACAAAACAAAACATGGGAGCGGTGGAGATGAGGAGGTGTCGGCGTTCTGGCGATTTACTCGGAAGGCTTCAGTAGACGCTGCTGGGAGTCCCAGCAGCTTCTACTGAAGCCAGTCCCCAACTCCGGGGACTTCCGGCCGGGGACTCCGGGTGGCAGTATACGCCGTGAAGTTGTTTGCTGCCTGCCAGTAAACCCAAAGCAGAAGAAGACGAAGTGACGTCAGCGGCTCATTTGCGTAATCTTCCCTCAGGGAAAAGTACTCCGGTGTGAACGCGATCTGTACTAAATGCCCTGGGGTCATAAGTGCCGGGGCTCTGAGTGCCGGCACTAAATACGGCAAAGTACTTGGTGTGAACGCGGCTATTGTAGAGGGTCAGCACCTGAGCGTCCGAGCTATTGACACTAGAATGCTGGAAATAAAAACATGTCATGTACATCACAGAAAATCAAATGACAGTAAAGAATTCAGGAGAAGTCATGTTGGTTATGTGCAGAGATTCAATAGCAAGATACACTTCATATATTCAGTTCCTACCGCTTTAAGCCACTCTAAAAAGGATGTAAGATCAACTTTCAGATAACCAAAGTTAAATAGAAAAACAATCATTTGGCCCAAAATATATGTGAAACATTAAACCTTTTTCATAGAATTTTCACTGCCAAATGTTGCATCTCCTCTGAGCATCACAGCAAACAACTCTAAAATAATAAATGAAACATTGCTGGATTCGCTATCCTGATCTGCGTGACGCTAATGTGCAAGCCATGCAGTAAATTATTATTTAAAAAAAAAAAAGGTGGATACCTATCATTTATAGATTGTAAAATATAAAATGTGTTTTATCAGGAAAAACATGTATTTAGCTCCACTGCCTGTCTTGGCCTTTTTCAGAGATTTGAAAGGTTAATCTAAGTCATATTTTCCAATAAATAAGGGCTACATTTTTAGATTCACACATGGAATGCCTTTTAAGACTTTTATGCAGATCTGCAACTACTGGCTATCTAAGAAAATAAGTGGCATAGCAATACAGGGCAATATATAAAGAAGCATACAAAAGAGTAATTTATACTGGTTTGTTGCTGCAGGAGTGATAAGAGGAAGCTCCTACCTTGAGCACACGGACATACGGTAATCCATCAGAACCGACTCTGCTCCCGTTCACCTCGATGTACTTCAGCCACTGGATGTGAGGCTGAGGGTCGCTGAACACTTTGCACTCAAACTTCACGTCGCTGCCCACCACGGCGGTGCGGTCGGCGGGCAGGCCGGCCTGCAGGATGGGCCTGTGGGGAGAGCGCTCTGAAACACAACACAAAACAAACGAATGTTAGATTAGAAGAGCTTCAATATCAAAGACAAACACGTGCATCACTCCAAAAGTACACACGGCTGACTGATTATCAAACACAGGCCAAATAAAACCAATGCGTTGTTACGGGAAAGGGCCGGGACAGTCCGTCTGTATAATCTAAACTGATACTATGTAAATTATAGACAATCGTTCTGCTACATGGAGAATAAAATCAGCTATTTCCTCAGCTATTGAGGAAATAGATGGAAGTTGAGTATCTGATCTGGAGCTGTTACTGAAAAAATTAAAAGTTCCTGCGGCTCCATTTTGATGACTGATAACTCTCCAAAGTAAACTCACTAGCCAAGAATCTGGCAGTATGTCAACTGTGCAGGCTTTCCTCACCAAGACATTCACGGGCACTTAGCAAGCACTTGTGAAAAAACTCTCCCCTCACTGACGCCGTATCTCGGCTCATCAGGGTCTAAACATGGACTGAGGTCGAGCCCAGGGACAGCAGTGACGGAGGAAGTGGGGCCGAGATTTATAGAACCAGTGGTGTAGGAGTGAGGCACAGGGCAGGTCTGAGGGGAGTAATCACTTCTCTCCTCTACACACATCCATCACTCGTGCACAGGTTTTATTTATTAAAGGGCTGAGAGAGATACAGTCGAACCCAACACAATACTTTGACCCTTCGTCGATAAGGATTACAACAGGTTGGTTAATAGGGTATTCTGGTATGAGATATTGGAGGTATTATCCAACATTACTTAAGGAAAAGGATTTGGGACAAATTGATTCATGTAGGAATTGGGGCAACCCTAACCCTTTTTTTTTTTTTTAATAAATAAAAAAAATGTATGGTGAAAGTCTTGTTAAAGAAAACATATGGTGAAATAGGCTAACGGGCCGTCTCCACGGCAGCGTTAAAAAAATCTTGAAACGCTTCTGCCCATTCACTTTGAATGGGGTGACGTCACTTTTTTTCGCTTTCGCCGAAATGCATTGTGGGCAGGCGAGCGGAGATTCTCAGGATTTTCAAGATCCAAAGTTGAACAATGTTCAACTTTTGAAGCTGAGGAGGAAGCGTCAGCCAATCAAATCCCGTGTACGCAAATCTGACAGTTCAAGCTCTAGCCAATCAAACGGCGTGTATGCTGGGAGAGACATACCGCAGATCATTTCCTCATATTCCAAAAAATGGAGGAGAAATTAGCGGTAGCGAATCAATCACCCGGTGCTTTATGACCAGACCTACCGGGATATAAACCGGAGGAGCCAGGCATGGAGGGAGGTGGCAGAGACAGTGGTATGTTTTCGCCTGTTTTGGGGAGTTTATATCCAGTTTACTTCGGGCTTTTTGGCTTCGTATGTCGCGGGCGGGAGATTCATGTGATTGGTTGATCGCAAAAAAATCCCCAAGCTTCAGATACGCCCACCTCCAAGATTTTTTTAACGCTGCCGTGGAGACGGCCCGTAACTCCTTAGAAACTTGTCTAAGCCAACCGTTTTAATGTATGCATCAGGCAGCAGTTTCTGTGTAACTTGAATTTGTTATTCTTGAAGCAAGTGAGAATTAAGAAATACTAAACACCATTTAGCTAAATCCGTTTATTTGTGCTAGTTTAGCATGAATAAATATGAATATGCAATCATATAACAATTAAATCGTCCTAAGCACACTTTACTGCTTCAATACCATATTTTTGGACAACATCTTATTAGCAACCAGCGGACTGGGGATTTCAATCAAATTGTGACCACAACAAACCAAATCAATCAATATTGAATCAAATCAGAAAACATTGAAAGATTAACACCCATACTCTGGATTCTCATCAATATTTAACAGGTGACCAAGCCATGATAACGATTTATTGATCAGGGTTTAATATACAGACAACCTGATTGCAGTTTACACTTACCCACTACGTTGAGCTGGTAGGTGTGATTGATGCTGCCGTACTGGTTCTCCACCACACAGGTGTAGTTTCCCTTATCAGAGGGAACTAACGATTCCATGATGATGGTCCACACATGATCCCGGACCTAACAGTTTGGAAAAAGCAAATGTTAGAGTGACTGGCGTACAAACACAGTACAGATAGGACTGCTGCTCAAAAGTACAAAAATATTTTCTGTTACCTTGAAGCCCCTGATGCGATGGTCTCTCTTGAACTCCCTGCCATTCTTGTACCATTTCAGGGTGGGATTTGGGTTTCCGCTAGCCTGGCACCGAAACTTCACCGTCTTACTGGCTGGGACAGCGTGAAGCTTTTTCTCCATTCTCTCAGGATGAGCCCATTGTGGAGCCATTGCTAAAGAAGAAGACACAAAATAAAAATAAATCAGACAAGTAATAAATACTAGCTTGTGTTTGTAAGGATGCAAAACATTGTAGGTACCTTAAACCTCAAGCTCCATTTGAATCAGGGCAATAGCTTTATTGTAGGGTTTTCAAAGGCAAATTGGTCCTAGGGGGAGGGGCCACACTAAGAGTAATTCTAAGGCCCCGTCCACACGGAGACGAAAAATCACAAAAAGTCGGCTCAAGAAACGAAAACGCTGGAAAACGCAGGAGATGCTGTAGTACATATGCCGGGCCTGTAAGTGGCGCTGTACTTCCGCCACAAAATACACCAAAACCAGCGAATAAGACCGATGGCGATTATTATTATTATTATTACTACATTATATTATATGATTATTGTGGCTGATGGTTGTGGTAGAGGAGCTGTAGATTTTGCACTAAAATCTGTATCATGGTCAGTAGTGTCTGGAGCACGAACGCAACCCTGTGATCCACCATTGTTGTTGATGTTGGCGAAATGCATCATCAATGACGTGGGGGTGAGCAGGAGAGGTGGGGAGAGGCGGGGCTATGGCTTCATTGTTTTCAGGAAATGATCGTATAGGGCGTACACACGGAGCCGCAAGCGTTTCGTCCCCAGACCTACCCACTTTGGGAGCCGTTATCAAAGTGTATCGGATTCGGGCTCCGAATCCACGGCTCCGTTTCGGCCTCGTGTGGACGAACCGTCTATACGATAGAGAATGTTAGCGGATACAACTGATATCGTCTCTGTGTGGACGGGGCCTAAGACCCTGACAAATTAATTGGCCAAGAATGATCTGAAGAACCTCGAATAGAGAAACTGGGCCTTTCAGGGCTGACCAAATTAATGAGATTTCAAATATCACAGACTGAATTACGTTTACATTGTAGTGTGGCTGGATGAAATCTGCTAGCAATTGTTTTTTTTATTCCCACCTGACCAATTTCGGGACATAATCCCCACTAATGGCGCATTTCCACTACAGGGCCTCATTCGGCCTCGTTCGGTATGGCTAGGCCTCGTTAGGCCTTGTTAGGACTGGCTCACTTTATGCTGCGTTTCCATTACAGTTTAGTAGCTGGGCAGTAACTATAGTAACGCAGTGTAGGCGGAGCCGTGACGTCATCTTCAATGAGAACCACAGAAAAACAACATCAGCCGTTAGCTGTTAGCACTCAAGCTCACAGCTTCTTATATCTGTTCAGAAACTAGACAAAAGTTAAACAAGTACAAACCACAGACTGTCTGTGTCATGGCGAATAGTCACTGGTTTATTTATGTCTGTATAGGCCGTTGTTGTGAGTGTGGACGGTCGGAGCATATACTGCGTTAGCTTAGCCGATCTCCATTTAGAAAACACGCATTTAAAAGGTTATTGTCTGCCGTCTGTCTGCAGACTTGTCAAAGCATTAATTCATGGTTTTTACTAACCGGTATCAGTATGTTGTTACTTCAACATCATTTTGAAACGTGTATTACAATTAAATCACGGTCAAATATGTTCATTTTGTTGTAGTTGTAGTAGCCCCCTTGCCAGCGATTCTCCCTCTAGTTTAGCATACTCAGCCCGACTCAGCCTGGTTGTTGGCCCGGAAAGAACCTCGATTTTATGGGGCCAGAAAAACTGTGAAATAGTACCTGCTAGCCGGAACTACGCCAAGTGGAAACGCAACCAAAAACGGGCCGGGCCCGGCACGGCACACTAATGGCGCATTTCCACCACACGGTCGGCCTCGGTCTCGCTCGGTACTGCTAGGCCGCGTTGGGCCTTGTTAGGGCCGGCTCACTTCATGCTGCGCTTCCATTACAGTTTAGGAACTGGGGTAGTTACTATAGTAACGCAGTGTAGGCGGAGCCGTGACGTCATCTTCAATGAGAACCCCAGAAAAACAACACAGCCGTTAGCTGTTAGCACTCAAGCTCACAGCTCCTCATATCTGTTCAGAAACTAGACAAAAGTTAAACAAGTACAAACCACAGACTGTCTGTGTCATGGCGAATACAGTCGCTGGTTTATTTATGTCTGTATAGGCCGTTGTTGTGAGAGTGGACGGTCGGAGTATATATTGCGTTAGCTTAGCCAATCTCCATCTAGAAAACACGCATTTTAAAAGGTTTTTCGCCTGCCGTCTGTCTGCAGACTTGTCAAAGCATTAATTCATGGTTTTTACTAACCGGTATCAGTATGTTGTTACTTCGGCATCATTTTGTAACGTGTATCACAATTAAATCACGGTCAAATATGTTCATCTTGTTGTAGTTGTAGCCCCCTTGCCAGCGATTCTCTCTCTAGTTTAGCAAACTCAGCCCTGTTTGTTGGCCCCGATAGAACCACGATTTTGTCGGGCCAGAAAAGAGGTGAAAAAGTACCCCCGGGCCGGAACTAGGCCTAGTGGAAGCGCAACCAAAAACGGGCCCGGCACGACACGGCACGCTTAAACCGCGCTCCGCGCCATGGTGGAAATACCCCATTAAAGCGAGCTCCGCGCTGTAGTAGAAATGCGCCATAACTAACCCGGACACATTTTGTTTAATCAACCACCTGACCAGACTCGAACTTTATGCAGTAAAGTAGCTCAGTAATCAGGACTGAAACAAAGACAGACTAAGGGGGAAATTGCTGCATGTGTGTATATAAGAATAATTGATAGAGATATATTGTTAGCATAGTTGCCTCATTTTGTTTGAATTTTTAAAACTGTTCCACCTTGTACAATGAGATGTGGCAATAGAGAAACAGTGGAGTGACTATTGCACATGTGTCTGTGCACTGTTATATTTTCTAGTAAGCTTAACCAAACCTCTGGGGAACCTCAAGGTCAACCGGCGCATCAGTAGTGGATGGGCTCACCCTCAAAAAGAGGATAAGAAGCAATGAGGAATGTCTGGTCTGTCTTTCTTGGCCGGTCCCACCACAAACCAGACGGGGTTTAGCGGCAGAAAAGGATGGATGTATTACATAATGCATGTTCTTAAATTATAGTCACAGTGAGTATGTTTCCTTTCCTTAAATAAAAGTCGGAAAAAAAAATACTTTCTTGAGAGGTTTTGGCTGTGCCTCGGGTGAGTAAAGTCACATTGTGTAGGTTTAAGGGGAGATTAAGCTCTGGGAGTCAAGAGTAAAACAAGTAAAGGTCGTCTTGGTAGCCATGCTTGGCAGCTGCTGGACTCTCTTAGAACAATCATATTTCAAATGCTGAAATCAGAGAATATAATCGTTTTTTCCTTTTTAGACATTTTACAAAACATTACAATCACTAAAGACAATATTTTCAAGACCCTTTAACATGCATTTGATTTGGGATTAAACTAATTATTTAACTTTAGAGTTGACTGGTGCCCAGAACATTGCTTCAATCATATCCTAATACATTTTGGAAAGCAGTATCTCTGATTTGTTGGTTATAATTTATATTCGCTGTTGAGGATGTGGTTGGGGTCAGAGACAATGTTTTTGGAAAGCCTCAATATGTTACTATGGTAGATTGAGTCATGGAGTTTTATAAAGGGTTGACATACAATCTTTGAGCAGATGTTTATTTGGTGGTGCAGTTTATTTTATACTGGTACTTTTGTACCTTATGTAGAGGAGACGAACCGTCGTCATCGCAGACCATTGGGTCTGCTCGGTGCTGCAGCAGGAGTCTGACCACATCCATCTGATCAGAGCTGCCAAATAACCGCTCCATAAAAGTGATGTTCTACCCGGCTAAGACCATTAATTATACTTTAAAATACCACTGGCTTTTTTTCATGGTAGACCAGGTAGAAGACAGCTTTTGGGGTTGTTTCATTAAAGAAACAGTAAAGCATGGCCCATACTCTCCCATCTAGAGAGTTTAGATGGAGCAGGAGCCATGCTGAGGACAGAGAAGGTTTAAATATTTGTAACTCGCCCTGGCTTGCTCTTACATTTTTCTACAGAAATAGAGTCAGGCTCTTTTCTGGCCAATGTAAAGGTGGAGAGCCAGGCTGGAGTTGGAAAATGGTAAATAATGGAAATATAGGAGAGACAAAACCACTGATACCTTCAACAACGGTCAACCATGCAGATTGATGAGAGATCCCGATAGAATTGCCCGCCAAGCAGGTGTACTCCCCAGCGTCATCAAAAGACACTTTTCTCAGTTGGAGGATTTCCATTTCCTTATCCATGGTGTTAAGGCCAGCAGTCTAGAAAGTAACAAAGGAAGCAGACCCAACAAGAGGCCCAAGAGGGGAAAGGTAACCATGAGTAAAGGATTCTGAAAGAGAAAGGGGATGGAGGAGCGTTCTCCTCCTCGATCCAGCACCATCTGCCCACAAAGTACCACAGAGAGCCCCTGCAGAGGACTCTCCTTTCTGTTAGTGGAGAAGAGGGTTAGGTTGACTCCTGAACTGGGCCACCCCATCACCACATCAAATACCTCAGTCTCATCTCTACATGCAAGAGATGGGCAACATGGAAAACTCCACAGCAGAACAGGGCAAACTCACACTCACAATCATACAAACTATGTAAGCATCAAATAAAAACAAGAGGTCTGGGGAACATAGGTCAGCAGAAGGAGGACAGCTGGAAACAAATCTGGTGACGATCGGGCCTCTCCTATATAATTGGACACTTTACAAATATACTGTCCGCTCTCCTCCTCAGTCACATTGTAGAGGGCCAGCACCTGAGCGTCCGAGCTATTGACCCCAGAATGCTGGAAATAAAAACATGTCATGTGCATCACAGAAAATCAAATGACAGTAAAGAATTCAGGAGAAGTCATGTTGGTTATGTGCAGAGATTCAATAACAAGATACACTTCATATATTCAGTTCCTAGAGCCACAAGTTAGATTTAAGACTTTTATGCCACTTTTTAGATGCAATACAAACTCAAAGATAACCTAAATTAAATAGAACAACTTTGCTCAAAATATATCTGCAACATAAAAAGGTTTTCATATAATTATCACTCACGCATGTTGCATCTGCTCTGAGCATCACAGAAAACCAACCAATAATGGCGCGTTTCCACGACAGCGCGGAGCCCCGTTTAAGAGAGCTGTGACGTCAGCAGCCCGTCTTTGGTTGCGTTTCCACTTGGCCTAGTACCGGCTAGCGGGTCCTAATTCACAGTTTTTCTGGCCCCATAAAATCGTGGTTCTAGGGCCAGGAACAACGAGGCTGAGTCGGGCTGAGTATGCTAAACTAGAGAGAGAATCGCTGGCAAGGGGGCTACAACTACAACAAGATGGACATATTTGACCGTGATTTAATTGTAATACACGTTTCAAAATGATGCCGAAGTAACAACATACTGATACCGGTTAGTAAAAACCATGAATTAATGCTTTGACAAGTCTGCAGACAGACGGCAGGCGAAAAACCTTTTAAAATGCGTGTTTTCTAAATGGAGATTGGCTAAGCTAACGCAGTATATGCTCCGACCGTCCACACTTACAACAACGGCCTATACAGACATAAATAAACCAGCGACTGTACTCGCCATGACACAGACAGTCTGTGGTGTGTACTTGTTTAACTTTTGTCTAGTTTCTGAACATATATGAGGAGCTGTGAGCTCTGAGTGCTAACAGCTAACGGCTGTGTTGTTTTTCTGGGGTTCTCATTGAAGATGACGTCACGGCTCCGCCTACACTGCGTTACTATAGATACTACCCCAGTTCCTAAACTGTAATGGAAATGCGCCATAAAGTGAGCCAGTCCTAACGAGGCCTAGCCATACCGAGCGAGGCCGAGCGAGGCCGTGTAGTGGAAATGCGCCATAAGTGTACTGATGGTTACTCTATCCTGATATGTGTGACGCTAATGCAAGAAGCATGCAGTCAATACTTAAAAAAAAGATATGTTACCAATCATTTAGTCGTTTTAAAACTAATGACAGAAAAAAATGTATTATTCATTACTCAACTTAGCGTTGTTAAGAGCTTTGGAAGATTGATCCATACTCATTTCCGATTGATGATTTGAATGCCTTTTAAGATTTTTATAAGAATCCCCTTTCACAGGAAGTACTTACGATCTAAGAAAATAAGTGGCATAGCAATACAGGGCAATATATAAAGAAGCATTCAAAAGAGTAATTTATACTGGTTTGTTGCTGCAGGAGTGATAAGAGGAAGCTCCTACCTTGAGCACACGGACATACGGTAATCCATCAGAACCGACTCTGCTCCCGTTCACCTCGATGTGCTTCAGCCACTGGATGTGAGGCTGAGGCTCGCTGAACACTTTGCACTCAAACTCCACGTCGCTGCCCACCACGGCGGTGCGGTTGGCGGGCAGGCCGGCCTGCAGGATGGGCCTGTGGGGAGAGCGCTCTGAAACACAACACAAAACAAACAAATGTTAGATTAGAAGAGCTTCAATATCAAAGACAAACACGTGCATCACTCCAAAAGTACACACGGCTGACTGATTATCAAACACAAGCAAAATAAAACCAATGCGTTGTTACGGGAAAGGGCTGGGACAGTCCGTCTGTATAATCTAAACTGATACTATGTAAATTATAGACAATCGTTCTGCTACATGGAGAATAAAATCAGCTATTTCCTCAGCTATTGAGGAAATAGATGGAAGTTGAGTATCTGATCTGGAGCTGTTACTGAAAAAATTAAAAGTTCCTGCAGCTCCATTTTGATGACTGATAACTCTCCAAAGTAAACTCACGAGCCAAGAATCTGGCAGTATGTCAACTGTGCAGGCTTTCCTCACCAAGACATTCACGGGCACTTAGCAAGCACTTGTGAAAAAACTCTCCCCTCACTGACGCCGTATCTCGGCTCATCAGGGTCTAAACATGGACTGAGGTCGAGCCCAGGGACAGCAGTGACGGAGGAAGTGGGGCCGAGATTTATAGAACCAGTGGTGTAGGAGTGAGGCTCAGGGCAGGTCTGAGGGGAGTAATCACTTCTCTCCTCTACACACATCCATCACTCGTGCACAGGTTTTATTTATTAAAGGGCTGAGAGAGATACAGTCGAACCCAACACAATACTTTGACCCTCCGTCGATAAGGATTACAACTGGTTGGTTAATAGGGTATTCTGGTATGAGATATTGGAGGTATTATCCAACATTACTTAAGGAAAAGGATTTGGGACAAATTGATTCATGTAGGAATTGGGGCAACCCTAACCCTTTTTTTTTTTTTTTAATAAATAAAAAAAATGTATGGTGAAAGTCTTGGTGAAAGAAAACGTATGGTGAAATAGGCTAACTCCTTAGAAACTTGTCTAAGCCAACCGTTTTAATGTATGCATCAGGCAGCAGTTTCTGTGTAACTTGAATTTGTTATTCTTGAAGCAAGTGAGAATTAAGAAATACTAAACACCATTTAGCTAAATCCGTTTATTTGTGCTAGTTTAGCATGAATAAATATGAATATGCAATCATATAACAATTAAATCGTCCTAAGCACACTTTACTGCTTCAATACCATATTTTTGGACAACATCTTATTAGCAACCAGCGGACTGGGGATTTCAATCAAATTGTGACCACAACAAACCAAATCAATCAATATTGAATCAAATCAGAAAACATTGAAAGATTAACACCCATACTCTGGATTCTCATCAATATTTAACAGGTGACCAAGCCATGATAACGATTTATTGATCAGGGTTTAATATACAGACAACCTGATTGCAGTTTACACTTACCCACTACGTCGAGCTGGTAGGTGTGATTGATGCTGCCGTACTGGTTCTCCACCACACAGGTGTAGTTTCCCTTATCAGAGGGAACTACCGATTCCATGATGATGGTCCACACATGATCCCGGACCTAACAGTTTGGAAAAAGCAAATGTTAGAGTGACTGGCGTACAAACACAGTACAGATAGGACTGCTGCTCAAAAGTACAAAAATATTTTCTGTTACCTTGAAGCCCCTGATGCGATGGTCTCTCTTGAACTCCCTGCCATTCTTGTACCATTTCAGGGTGGGATTTGGGTTTCCGCTAGCCTGGCACCGAAACTTCACCGTCTTACTGGCTGGGACAGCGTGAAGCTTTGTCTCCATTTTCTCAGGATGAGCCCATTGTGGAGCCATTGCTAAAGAAGAAGACACAAAATAAAAATAAATCAGACAAGTAATAAATACTAGCTTGTGTTTGTAAGGATGCAAAACATTGTAGGTACCTTAAACCTCAAGCTCCATTTGAATCAGGGCAATAGCTTTATTGTAGGGTTTTCAAAGGCAAATTGGTCCCAGGGGGAGGGGCCACACTAAGAGTAATTCTAAGGCCCCGTCCACACGGAGACGAAAAATCACAAAAAGTCGGCTCAAGAAACGAAAACGCTGGAAAACGCAGGAGATGCTGTAGTACATATGCCGGGCCTGTAAGTGGCGCTGTACTTCTGCCACAAAATACACCAAAAGCAGCGAATAAGACCGATGGCGATTATTATTATTATTATTACTACATTATATTATATGATTATTGTTGCTGATGGTTGTGGTAGAGGAGCTGTAGATTTTGCACTAAAATCTGTATCATGGTCAGTAGTGTCTGGAGCACGAACGCAACCCTGTGATCCACCATTGTTGTTGATGTTGGCGAAATGCATCATCAATGACGCGGGGGTGAGCAGGAGAGGTGGGGAGAGGCGGGGCTATGGCTTCATTGTTTTCAGGAAATGATCGTATAGGGCGTACACACGGAGCCGCAAGCGTTTCGTCCCCAAACCTACCCACTTTGGGAGCCGTTATCAAAGTGTATCGGATTCGGGCTCCGAATCCACGGCTCCGTTTCGGCCTCGTGTGGACGAACCGTCTATACGTGTGGACGGGGCCTAAGACCCTGACAAATGAATTGGCCAAGAATGATCTGAAGAACCTCGAATAGAGAAACTGGGCCTTTCAGGGGTGACCAAATTAATGAGATTTCAAATATCACAGACTGAATTACGTTTACATTGTAGTGTGGCTGGATGAAATCTGCTAGCAATTGTTTTTTTTATTCCCACCTGACCAATTTCGGGACATAATCCCCACTAATGGCGCATTTCCACTACAGGGCCTCATTCGGCCTCGTTCGGTATGGCTAGGCCTCGTTAGGCCTTGTTAGGACTGGCTCACTTTATGCTGCGTTTCCATTACAGTTTAGTAGCTGGGCAGTAACTATAGTAACGCAGTGTAGGCGGAGCCGTGACGTCATCTTCAATGAGAACCACAGAAAAACAACATCAGCCGTTAGCTGTTAGCACTCAAGCTCACAGCTCCTCATATCTGTTCAGAAACTAGACAAAAGTTAAACAAGTACAAACCACAGACTGTCTGTGTCATGGCGAATACAGTCACTGGTTTATTTATGTCTGTATAGGCCGTTGTTGTGAGTGTGGACGGTCGGAGCATATACTGCGTTAGCTTAGCCGATCTCCATTTAGAAAACACGCATTTTAAAAGGTTATTGCCTGCTGTCTGTCTGCAGACTTGTCAAAGCATTAATTCATGGTTTTTACTAACCGGTATCAGTATGTATGCAAGCCCGGAGCGAAAACTTTGCATGGCTTTGCTAAATGCTAGGTCGATAGCAAACAAAACGTTCCTGCTAAACGACTTCTTCACCTCTCGTGAACTGGATTTTATGTTCCTGACGGAGACCTGGGTCCACGCTGGCGAGTATACACCGTTCTCTGAACTTCTTCCTCCTGACTGTACATTCTTCAGCTCCCCCCGTGCCACTGGCCATGGTGGGGGCATAGCATCAGTGTTTAGAGCTAGCCTCCAATGCCGATTGCTTCACCCTGTAACTAGCTATGCCAGCTTTGAGTTGCAGCTTTTTGAACTGAACCCGGCCTCGCCTATACTCTGCGCAGTCGTGTATCGTCCGCCAAAGTGTAATAAGGATTTCATAAATGACTTTTCTGACTTTCTGACCGGGATCATGGTGAAATATGATCGTGTTTTGATCTCCGGAGACTTCAATGTCCATGTGTGTTGCGAGTCCAAACCTCTGGTTAGGGACTTTTTAAATCTCCTTGATTCTTTTGGTCTCGTTCAGTCCGTGGCTGGCCCAACACACGAAAAAGGACACACTTTGGACTTAGTATTATCGTTTGGACTGTCTGTATCTGTGGATGAAATATGTGCAGCAACGCGTATCTCAGACCATTTACCGGTTCTGTTTACAACCTACATCCCTTCCGCAGGAGTCGAATCACGTGCCCCGGCGCGTCGTCTGCGTTCGATTAACCCCTTGACTGCCTCACAGTTCTCTGATGTTTTTAATGCTTCTCCGATCTGTAAATTAGATGTGAACTGTGCTTTTAATGCTGATGAGCTTATCTCCATGTTTGACTCGACATGCACACTAATACTGGATTCTGTTGATCCTTTTACGCTTAGACGCACCAAAGTTCTATCAGAGCCGTGGCTCAATGACTGTACTCGTGCTCTCAGACGCGCTTGCAGGCGTGCAGAGAGAAAATGGACAAAGGATAAACTCCATGTCTCCCTAGAAATCCTTCGTGCTTGCCTTTCTGACTACCAGACGGCAGTCAAAGCAGCCAAAACAGAGCACATTTCTCTGTTAATCTCCAAAAACAGCCATAAACCTCAGGTTCTTTTTAATGTCCTCAACTCTATCATTAATCCCTGTGATGTTTCTTCTATTGTCCCATCGACTACTCTCTGTGATAAGTTTCTTACATTTTTTATTGAAAAGGTATCTGCTCTTACGGGCCGTCTCCACAGCAGCGTTAAAAAATCTTGAAAAGCTTCTGCCCATTCACTTTGAATGGGGTGACGTCACTTTCCCTCACTTTTCGCCGAAATGCATTGTGGGCAGGCGAGCGGAGATTCTCAGGATTTTCAAGATTCAAAGTTGAACAATGTTCAACTTTTGAAGCTGAGGTGGAAGCGGCAGCCAATCAAATCCCGTTTACGCAAATCTGGCAGTTCAAGCTCTAGCCAATCAAACGGCGTGTATGCTGGGAGAGACATACCGCAGGTCATTTCCTCATATTCCAAAAAATGGAGGAGAAATTAGCGGTAGCGAATCAATCACCCGGTGCTTTATGACCAGACCTACCGGGATATAAACCGGAGGAGCCAGGCATGGAGGGAGGTGGCAGAGACAGTGGTATGTTTTCGCCTGTTTTGGGGAGTTTATATCCAGTTTACTTCGGGCTTTTTGGCTTCGTATGTCGCGGGCGGGAGATTCATGTGATTGGTTGATCGCAAAAAAATCCCCAAGCCTCAGATACGCCCACCTCCAAGATTTTTTTAACGCTGCTGTGGAGACGGTCCGTTAGGCTAGCCCACACTAGTGCTACCCCAGATCCTGCTCCTTTTCTGTGCCCTGCTGTCCTCGACCACTTTGAGCCTGTATCCCTCTCTTCTCTCTCGGATGTAGTCAAGCACCTGCGGCCGACAAACTGCACCTCAGACAGCATTCCCTCTCGCCTTCTCAGAGATGTTTTTGATTCAGTTGGAGCAAGTATTTTATTACTTTTAAACACCTCTCTTACCTCAGGATGTGTCCCAGCTGCCTTCAAACATGCCGTGGTTAAGCCACTCCTTAAAAGAAAAATCTCGACCGCTCCATTCTCGCAAATTTTAGGCCCATCTCCCAGCTACCTTTTTTATCAAAAGCCCTGGAGCGAGTAGTCTACGCCCAGCTGCAGTCTTTTTTAACCATCCATGGAATCCATGAAAAGTTTCAGTCTGGCTTCAAACCCATGCACAGCACCGAAACAGCCCTTTTAAGAGTTTTTAATGATCTGCTCCTAGCCGCCGACTCAGGTAGCCCAGCTGTCTTGGTGCTGTTAGACCTGACAGCTGCCTTTGACACTGTGGACCATAGCATCCTGCTGTCACGGCTTGAACAGTCCGCTGGCATCACAGGCTCTGCCCTTGCATGGTTCAGGTCCTACCTGACAGACCGTAGCTTCTCAGTGCAGCTAGGTGCCTTCTCCTCTGCCAAAGCCCCTCTTATCTGTGGGGTTCCCCAAGGCTCGATTCTGGGCCCCATCCTTTTTCTACTGTACATACTGCCCCTAGGTTCAATTCTCACAAAACATAACATTCCCTTCCACTGCTACGCCGACGATGTACAGATCTATCTGCCTCTCAAAGCAAATGTCAAACACTCACTACAGCAGTTGATGGACTGCTTAGCAGAGATAAAATCCTGGCTGAGCAAAAACGTTCTCAACCTCAGCGAGAGCAAGACTGAGGTCATCTTTTTTGGACCGCAACCTCCAGCCTCTCCGGTTGATATTCTGGGCTCTATCAAAAAAAAACATCCTCCCCTCGGTCATGAACCTTGGAGTGACCTTCACTAGCACTTTTAAATTCGACAAGCAGGTCAGCACCGTAGTAAAATCCTGCTTTTTTAAAATAAGACTATTGGCCAAAACCAAGTCGTATTTATCTTTTAATGACTTAGAAAGGGTTATTAACGCCTTTGTAACCTCGAGACTGGACTATTGTAACGCTCTATATGTGGGTATGAACCAGGCCTCAATTAAACGCCTACAGCTAGTCCAAAACGCTGCTGCACGTTTGCTGACTGGCCACAAAAAGCGTGACCACATCACCCCTATTCTGGCCTCACTACACTGGCTTCCAGTTCGGTTCAGAATTGATTTTAAAATCCTTTTATTTGTTTTTAAAGCACTAAATGGGCTGGCCCCGCCCATAGCTGAACTGCTCCAGCGCTACACCCCAGCCAGAGCTTTAAGGTCTGCTGACCAGCTGCTGCTGGTAGTGCCCAAGACCAGGCTCAAAACCCGAGGGCACCGAGCCTTCGCAGTAGCTGGCCCTAGGCTCTGGAACACTCTGCCCCTCCATGTGAGGTCCCTTGGGGTTTTTAAATCTAAACTAAAAACACACTTCTTCTCTCTGGCTTTCTAGTTAGAGCGGAGCACGACTCCTGACTTTTCCGTGTGTTTTATTTTTATTTTGTTTTTAAGATATATCGGTTGTAATTTATTGTCGTTTATTGTGAATGTAGTAATGTGTTTTTATACATGTACAGCACTTTGGCTCGACCAAACATCGCTTTTAAATGTGCTATATAAATAAAACCTGATTTGATTTGATTTGATGTTGTTTCTTCGGCATAATTTTGAAACGTGTATTACAATTAAATCACGGTCAAATATGTTCATTTTGTTGTAGTTGTAGTAGCCCCCTTGCCAGCGATTCTCCCTCTAGTTTAGCATACTCAGCCCGACTCAGCCTGGTTGTTGGCCCGGAAAGAACCTCGATTTTATGGGGCCAGAAAAACTGTGAAATAGTACCTGCTAGCCGGAACTACGCCAAGTGGAAACGCAACCAAAAACGGGCCGGGCCCGGCACGGCACACTAATGGCGCATTTCCACCACACGGTCGGCCTAGGCCTCGCTCGGTACTGCTAGGCCGCGTTGGGCCTTGTTAGGGCCGGCTCACTTCATGCTGCGCTTCCATTACAGTTTAGGAACTGGGGTAGTTACTATAGTAACGCAGTGTAGGCGGAGCCGTGACGTCATCTTCAATGAGAACCCCAGAAAAACAACACAGCCGTTAGCTGTTAGCACTCAAGCTCACAGCTCCTCATATCTGTTCAGAAACTAGACAAAAGTTAAACAAGTACAAACCACAGACTGTCTGTGTCATGGCGAATACAGTCGCTGGTTTATTTATGTCTGTATAGGCCGTTGTTGTGAGTGTGGACGGTCGGAGCATATATTACGTTAGCTTAGCCAATCTCCATCTGGAAAAACACTACTAGGGGTAGTTCCGGCTAACGGGTACTGTTTCACAGTTTTTCTGGCTCTCCAAAATTCAGGTTCTTTCCGGGCCAACAACCGGGCTGAATATGCTAAACTAGTGAGAGAATCGCTGGCAACTACAACAAAATGAACATATTTTACCGTGATTTAATTGTAATACACGTTTCAAAATGATGCCGAAGTAACAACATACTGATATCGGTTAGTAAAAACTATTAATTAATGCTTTGACAAGTCTGCAGACAGACGGCAGGCGAAAAACCTTTTAAAAAGCGTGTTTTCTGAATGGAGATCGGCTAAGCTAACGCAGTATATGCTCCGACCGTCCACACTCACAACAACGGCCTATACAGACATAAATAAAGCAGCGACTGTATTCGCCATGACACAGACAGTCTGTGGTTTGTACTTGTTTAACTTTTGTCTAGTTTCTGAACAGATATGAGGAGCTGTGAGCTCTGAGGGCTAACAGGTAACGGCTGATGTTGGTTTTGTGTTTTGCATTGAAGATGACGTCACGGCTCCGCCTACACTGCGTTACTATAGTTACTACCCCAGTTCCTAAACTGTAATGGAAACGCAGCATAAAGTGAGCCTGGCCTACCAAGGCCTAACTATACCGTACTAAGCCGTGCAAGGCCCTGCAGTGGAAATGCGCCATAAGACCCTGACAAATGAAGTGGCCAAGAATGATCTGAAGAACCTCGAATAGAGAAACTGGGCCTTTCAGGGGTCCAAAAGAATGAGATTTCAAATATTAGAGACTGAATCTCCCTTAGATTGTAGTGTGGCTGGATGAAGTCTGCTAGCAATTGTTTTTTTAATTCCCACTTGACCAATTTCGGGACATAATCCCCACTGACTAACCTACACACATTTTGTTTAATCAACCACCTGAACCTGACCAGACTCAAACTTTTTGCAGTAAGTAGCTCAGTTAAGTTAGTGTGGGTAGATTGCATGGCATTGAAAAAAAATAAGGAAAAAATAAATAAAATAAAAATATTTCTTTAATTACATTTTTTTTTAAAGTTAGCCTATCATCCATCCTTACTATAGCATTTGCCACTTGATTGACGTACAGGTAAGCCAGTCTGAGTTGTATTGTGTCATACGGGTTCATGCAGTTATGAGGGGGCCTCACCTCCTCATCTGAAGTGCAAATGCCACAGTTTATCCGCCATTTAATCCACTAGCACCCCTCCCCCCGCGCGCTCGCGACACAGATTGGGCAGGGGCGGCAAATGTAGGTAAATCTTTTGGGCGTGGTCATTTTAAAAGTAGCTCCCAAGCTGAAAAAGTGTGGGCACCCCTGCTCTAGGTCAACCGGTGCATCAGTAGTGGATGGGCTCACCCTCAAAAAGAGGATAATCAATGAGGAATGTCTGGTCTGTCTTTTTTGGCCTGCTACCACCACAAACCAGACTTGGTTTAGCGGCAGAAAAGGATGGATGTATTACATAATGCATGTTCTTAAATTATAGTCACAGTGAGTATGTTTCTCCTGAAAGCACTCCAGTGGAGGTGGACCCTTTTCACTCCTAAATGAGCTGCTGACAATCAGCATGGATTAACACTAGGGAGCTACTAGGGAGCTCCAAGGATTACTGTGCAGTGCAAAGTGTTTCCAGTGTCATTCAAACGAGTTCTGCTACATTTAGCCCCACATTGAGGCCCTAATGGATAAACACAGGAAAGGGAGGATCTTTCAAAAATAATTAACCTTTATGTAGATCTAGTTTTATAACTACCATTAGTGTGGTCTGCTCTGCTGCAGGTTGTTCTTAGAAACCACACAGGCACACACGTAAAAAAAAACACCAATAAAAATGGTTTGGAGAAACATGTTGCAACTTAGACTAAAGTAATCATTACACTCTTGCAACACATGCATACACTTATTTTCTAACCAGATGGTTTCCAATGTAATTATTAGGAAAACGGATAAACAATTGCATTGTTTAATCTTTCTTTCAAGAGGTTCTCTTAACATTTCAATTTATTTACAGATTCCGCTCATTCTTTACAAGTGTTAACATTAACATCACGTTCACGGCTCAACTTTTAGCCCAACATTTTTTTTTTGCGAAACATGGTCTCCATATATTTGTGCTTTCCCCCATTTAACAGTCACATTTACACCTTTTTTGAATTTTTAACTCACACAAATGTTACATGTTACACAGAACGATAGGGCATTGAATTTGATTTATGTCACTATACCGCTAATTCTCCCTGACATAACGATCAGTGCGTTATCCTTGAGTGGAAATTAATGCCTTCAGGGGGAAAGTTAATTAATCCTGTGTCAACCTTAAAGTCAGTTCACTTCTTTCGTCTTCTCTCTGAGATTCAGCAGAGTTTAAACTCCTATGGGCCCCCATCACTGTCTGAAAAAGTCTTTCTCAGGACTGTGGCAGCTTCAGATTTAAGAGCCGAGCCACTAAAGGGCCAGTGGCTTGTCTACACTGACTGACAGCCAGTGGCGGCGCCAGAGCATTTTTGTTGGGTAATCTATGGTAGGGCTAACCCATACAGTGGTGGTGCTCAAATCAGTATTTGCAATGTAATTACATACACGCTATATCGCCCCCCTTGACAGTGAAACGCCACGCGTGAGGTTTAGATTATTTCCCTGTCTCAATCAAAATGGAACTGTATGAAATAAAACGGCACATTTGTCTTGTAGTAAATAAAAAGGGATCACTGTGAACGTGACGTATGATAGTACACGTTGAAGATCCAATGGGGATACTGAATGGCGGTTTCGATTGATCTCAATCAATAAGGCATGACGCAGATCCAACGTTGCGTTGCTCTGATTGGCTGTAGGTCAGGTCTATTCAAATTGCATTCGGAGGTATTTTGATCTGACCGCGGCCGCGCTGATATTATAACGCCAGAGAATTTCCACACCTTTAGTGTATAAAACTTCCCCACTACTTAGACTATTCCTTGCACCCCTCTTATAGCATAGGCCCGAATGGTCTCAACCATATTGCATCAGTAACGTGCACTTGTTGTTACAGCAGGATCAGTTTGTGTGCTGTGGACACGACCCGTGTATTTTCGCAATCCGTGTTCTCAACATTTAGCATTTCGCTTATTATTTAATTGAATTTGCATCACTTTTCATGGTGGGGCTAAGGTGTGGCTAAGCCATTTCTTGGTATGGCTGTAGCCTACCCCAGCCATACCCTGGCGCCGCCACTGCTGACAGCAGAGAAGAAATCCTCTGGGATGCCAAAAAAACGTTCTGACATTTCACTGTCTTTAAAACAAAAAGATGTAGACCTACAGACATTGAAATGATGAAGACAAAAGCACTCTGAATTATCTCACTGAGCTCACAAAGCTTATAAATGTTGTAATAATGTAAATGGCCGTCCATGTGGCCGACCATCAGCGGACTGTTTTTCAAGGCGGGAGTCGAGATAAGTCAGACTTGAAGCTAAAACAGTTACGTGTCTTTTAAGTAATACTACATCCAGAAGCAGAAAAAGGCAGTGTACAAATAAGACATCTTACCTTCATCAGTGTTGGCAGGCCGGCACTCCGTCCGTAAAACTTGGGAGAGTAAAACCAGACTCAGAAGTATACTCGGTCTCATCAGCATCCTGCTGAGGGAGCTACAACCGTTGGCTTTTCTGCAACTGCAACTCCATTCAGACCGTTGGGGCATCAGTAGCGGGTCATTCACAGTGCTAAGCTAAAAACAAACAAAAAGTAATAAAAACAAATTCATGCATAAACACGTGAGAAAGCAGCCTCATGAGTTAAAAGCAAACAGTTACTAAAAATAGGTTTAGGGTACAAGTATTTAGCGAGAGACATATTTGCTTATATTTGCTCGTGGAAAATAAACATTTCAACTTAATCCATTGCTTTTTTGTAATCCGAACTGCGTTTGGTGTGAGTGGGACACCAGGATATATTTATTATTTTACATATTAAAAAACGTTGGTTTACATGAGGGATTTTGTAGATTAAATACCAGATAACGTTGGTATTGGGGCTAGGCAATAAGGAGGAATTTCATAAAAACTTTGATTAAATATAAAGATATTCCTAATGATATTGTTGAGTTGATCATTGGAGCTTTCACCAACTATTTAAATGAGATTTTTTATAAATAATCATTAGTAATGGGGAAATCATGACCAGGTGGGTGAAGCTAACAGTCTGGAAAGAGCGAGGAGAAGAAAAAAACGTTCTAACATATTATGATGTTTCCACACCCAAAATGTACAGTAAGTATATTTAGTATTTTCCCAACTTTCAAGACTATACTCACCCTATTTTTAAGACTACAAAGTCCCTATTGTATGTATAGTATGATCTCATAAAGACTGTCCTACCATTAAGACAATGTTCAAAGTTGTTGTTTGTGCTACTAGACCATTGTTGGGCTTGAGAAGATGTACAGTACGCTCCAAAACGGGGCTCCGTGCAGTGGGTGAGCCTCACATCTGCTTGCATCATCACCTCTGCAGCATCTGGCCACATAGATTAATACTTGCCCCGGACCCCCATGACCCTCCTTGAGAAATTTGTTTAAAGACCGAAAAAACTACAGCCTGTTATGTGACACCCTTGTAGAGAGAAACCGTGCCGGGCCATCATTTCCACGCTGAGAGATTTATCACCTAACAGTTGGTTTTGGTCCCCAAGCTCCAAGTGACCCCTTCTTTCAACCATTTGCTCCCATGACTTGTAAGGAAAGGTAAAACTAATGCTGTTTTTTTTACCCAAGTCAAGCCAAAGCCCATGCTTATTAATAAACAGTGATGCAAACACAGGTATGGTGAAAAAAGAGAGAATTATTCGAAGCAGAAAAAAAAAAAGCATAATATACCATCTGACAAAGGCCTGTGCTATAATGCTTCAATTAACTGGCTATTCTTTATAATATAAAGGAGACAGAGATGTTAAAGTGGACCTATCATGCTATATTTGAATAATATATTGTAGGGCCATACCTATATAAGGTATATTTATACGTTTTCTTTTTCAAAATACCAAACAGATCATGCATTTTAGCCATGCCTCATTTCGCTCTATTTTGCTCTCCTCCACCCTGTCTTTGCATGCGCTGCAGCTGACCACGCCCCCCTGCAAAGGAGGGGGCCGAGTTACGAGCGTCATGTTACCATGCTGTTACCATGCTGTTACCATGCCACGGCAACCTCTCATTCCCCTGATAGGTGGAGAGTTGGCCATATAGGCGGAGCTCCTCCGTCCTGATGTCAGAGAAATGTTCAAATCTGGATCAGTCTGTATCAGATCCGTTGCAGCCCCGTTTTTAGAGATTTGGGTATGGAGGAAAAGAGAGAGGGTTGTGTTTTCTGACACTTGGTGAGTTCCCTGGAACACCGGGGCCACATATTCATGTACAAAAGACATACAAAAGTGCATTTTGCATAATAGGTCCCCTTTAAGTTATAAATCAAGGGTTTTTATTATTATTTACAGGTAGATATTATCAAGGGTGTAACTTTGACACACAAACAGGGGGGTCCTCCGCAATGAAGATTTTTTTCTTTAAATTGAAGTTAAAGTGGACCTATCATGCTATATTTGAAAGATATATTGTAGAACATGTCTGTGAAGTTTTTTTTTTAAATACCAAACAGATCATGCATTTTAGCCACGCCTCCGTCCTCCGTGTATTATTCTTATATTATTATATAGAGTCGTTATTCATTTGTTTTAAAGCTCAATAAATAACAAAGAAGACCTTTGACCGGCACTTTTCGAATTTCGAAGATTTCAACTTGGCGAAAAAAGATCTAGTTCATAAACATGTCCGTGGTAAAATGTTTAGAACACACAAGCAGAAATCTGCCGGAGTCTTCTGGCACATGTCCCTTGAAAATGAAGTCTAGCCACAGATTATTGTCTTTTTCCAGGGATGGCATTGCATGCAGTCCCTTGTCCCGATTCTTGCAGCCAACAATAGCACAACGTTTAACTCCCTTATGCCCCTTAACGCGTTTTCAGCGCCGGCTCGGAACTAGAGCCTGTAAACTACCGGTTTTTCCTGTTCACACCGCAGCGGCGCCGCCTCTTCGTTTCCAGCTCCAAAAAATTGACGGTCCAGAAGCAAGACTCCGGAGCTAAGAGGCGGCATCGCTTACGTCTCTCTTACGTCGAGGCGGCATCGCTTACGTCTCTCTTACGTCGAGGCGTGCAGGAAACTAAACCCACCTCCCCTGAACATGGGTCGACTGAAGAGTCTCGTCATGCCTGCCTACAAGCAGTAGCGCTGAGCAAAGTGACTAGAAGGCAACCACACACTTATAAAAAAAAACACACTTTATAAAGTCAGGCAACACTAACCAGGCTTCGTGTGATTCTGTTTATTTGTACCTTACTTTGACCATCCGTTCACTGTTATTGATCATTGTGGAGAGCAGGCAGACGTTTTGTTTTTTATTATAGCAGCTATCGGATGGAATCAATACATGGGCTGCACAGGTTGTCATGTCCGACTATCACAAGTAGAATCATAATGAAAAATACGCCGGTAAAATGTGCCTGTAGAAAACGGCTTAGCAAGTAGTCAGTTTAGCTTCGGTTGCTATGCTAGCATCACCCATGTTATACCAGAGAAACTTTCATAACAGCGTTGTGATGCCAAACAGCGTCAATTCAAACTGACACACATTCACTTAAGGGGAACTGGGGATATGTATCAGCTGCTTGTGTGACAGTCAGACAGTGAATACTTTAGAGCTGTGTGAGCTAACCCGGAGCTAACGGGAGAATAAACTCCCGTGGAAGAGCAGCCAGCACTGCAGCGGTCGGTAAATGCCGCTGAAACACATTAATAAACAATGAACCACGGCACTCTGGAGAAAAGTATAAGGTTGGAGAAGTCGTTATTTAATTTAATCTGGCTTCGTATGATTAAAAGCAACACGATCATCGACCCGACGCAGTCCCCCGTTGTTGTTGTTGTGAGCGCCGTTGGGGAGCAAATCAGCGATGTAAACGTTGACGTCATGACGCAGCAGCGGCAGCACCATCCTGGCTCTGAGTGGTGTGAACTAGAGATGGGCGAGTCCTGATTCATCCGGATCATTAACCCGGATCCTAGAAATGAGCTGGTCGTGACGAGTCTCCCCTCTCCATTAACCCGAGTCCTTTGAGTCCCACACTTGGTGTGACGTACAAATTAAAACTATAAATTGCGTCACTCGCTACTCTCTTTATAACATGTAAAATCACATTACAACGTACCCCAGTCCATCTGCCTACCCTTTAGCAAGTAGGATAGCTGCCAGAAGTGATCGTTTGGCTCAGGGGAGTGCACGAGTCAACAGCAGACTCAGATTCGCTAAATCGCAAAATGACCGTTTTTTTTGTGATCAATATGTTTTATTAAAGCAAAAGACACCACTTTACACACATTTAACACATACAAACACCAGTATTGCAATGATTACGCAGTCCATGAGAAAATATGGGGGGCATATGATTAGATATAATTATATGTTTAATAATAATAATTGTATAATTAAGACATTTTATATATTCTAACTGTTTTGCAATTTTCTATCATTTGTCATTGTTTGTTTCTTTTTGTGTGCTATGTTCAAAATAAACGTTTTGCCAAGTAAGATCCTTATTGGAAATGCAGCTATTACACGCAGGAGACTGTTGCACAACATGACAATTTTGTTAGAAGTCTACACTGAAACTTCATTTAGAGCCGGAAACATAATGGACTTAATCAAAATCGTGGGATCCGTGAATCCAGGTCAATGATCGAGAGAGACCAGTAGCCTACGAGTTAGTCAGCGGAACTTCACAGACTCAGATTCGCAAATCACTGTGCAAAACACAGCAGACTCGTGCGGACTCAGAGCCGTAACCATATAGCAGCAGATCCAGAGATCCAGCAGACTCGTTGTCATGCACGAGTCAACAGCAGACTCAGATTCGCAAATCCTGACTCACTGTGCAAAACACAGCAGAGCAGACTCGTGCGGACTCAGAGCCGTAGCCATATAGCAGCAGATCCAGAGATCCAGCAGACTCGTCCTCATGCACGAGTCAACAGCAGACTCAGATTTGCCAAATCGCAAAATAACCCTTTTTTTTGTGATCAACATTTTTTATTAAAGCAAAATACACTGTGTAGCGGAGGTTAATATAACGTCAGTTTAATATGCTTGTGAAATGCAACAACTTTTCGGTTTCACCGATAGGATTTCTACCCTCTTGGTGATGCTGACTCATATGACTCAAATGACTCGTATGATCCGGATCTCTTCAATGACTGACTCAGAAGACCCTGAATCCGTAAAAGGATCCGGATTTGCCATCTCTAGTGTGAACAGAGCGGGAGCAGAAAAGGGAAACCGGAGCTGAACCAGAAAAGCTCTAGCTCGGAGCTAGAAAGGGAAAAGCGCTGGTGTGAAAGCCGCATCAGACATCCTGGCAAGAGCAGGCAAAAACACAGATGTGACTGGGGGAGATTTAGCTTTCCGACAGCCTATATGCGAATGAGAGGTTGGGCAATGGCCGTGGCCCAACCTCTCATCCCCCTGATAGGTGGAGAGTTTTCCATATAGGCGGAGCACCCCTTTTCTGACGTCAGAGAAATTCAAATCTGTATCAGCTCCGTTGCAGCCCCGTTTTTAGAGATTTGGGTATGGAGGAAAAGAGAGAGGGTTGTGTTTTCTGACACTTGGTGAGTTCCCT